CCCACTCCCCCTGCTTATGTTCCCTCTCTCGCTGCGTCTCTCTCTGTCAAATAAATAAATAAAATCTTTAAAAAAAAAAAAAAAAAAAAAGAGAGGGCACTGGAAGGATACTGGAGGGAAAAGGGAAGAGGATACTCTTTCTGGCCCCAGGGTGCTCAGCTTGGCCAGCTCTTGCAGTGCACACAGCTGTTCCACATCAGCCCCCCGCAGAGCCCTCCCTGCCCTCAGAGCCCCCCCGCAGAGCCCGGCATTTCCCTCCAGTATCCCTGGGGTGGCTGCATGGCGGATTGCTACCAGTGAGGCAGCAGCTTGTGAACAGATTCCCCAGCAACTCCCTGTGGACGGGCCGTCAATTCCCCCAGAAGCCAGATTTCCATGAGTTCTACCAGCCCAGCAGCTCATGAATTTCTTTGCCATCCAGTGAGCCACAGCTCTTTCCAGTGAGGCCTGGCTCTCAGGTGTGGAGGTGCTGCTTCCTCAAACAAACTCTGTCTAAGCCCTAGGGGTACTAGCTGCCCCTTACACTTGCTGCTCCCCGAGCCTTTAGAGTTCTCTCTTTTACTATCCAATCCCTCAGTACTCTAGTCCTCTGTTAGGCTTACTAATTCCCTATATTACAGTTTCCCTATTCAATTTGTAAGATTTCTATCTCCCCAATTAGACACTGAGTGACACAGTTGGTTATAAAACAATATGCATGGTGTTAGTGTGTCAGGGAAAATGCAATAAACTCTATATACAGAAAAAAACAAGACTTAGAAGAATCTGGGCTGAAGGCAGAATTAAGACTATTTTGGCTTACTTTTATAATCAGGAAAAATATTTAGAAGGAAAAGAAAAGCATACTAGCTAAAGAGGTTCTTGATACCCACATAAATGTAATTAGTCTTACATTATAAAACTTTGTTACTCAAAGTATGGTTCATGGATCAGCAGCATCAGCAGCATCTGAAGGCTTGTTATAAAATGCAGAATCTCTAGGCCCACCCCAGAACTACTATATCAGAATCTGTATTTTGGGGTGCCTGGGTGGCTCAGTCAGTTAAGCATCCAACTCTTGGTTTCAGCTCAGGTCATGATCTCAGGGTCCTGGGTTCAAGCCCCACATCGGGCTCCATGTGGAGTTTGCTTGTCCCTCCCCCTCTGCTCCTGCCTTCGTCATGCGCACTCTTATACTCCCTCTCTAAAAATAGATAAATAAAATCTTGAAAAGGATCTGTATATATATATATGTGTATATATATATGCATATTTGAGACTTAAAAGTTTGGGAAGCGCTGCTACAATGAGCAAACTTAACCAGTAGCCTTGGAAAAATAACCTAGCTCTCTCAAATGGAGCTACCAGCCAGTTTCTAGAGAATTTATTGTGTAGAAATGGGTAGTCCAGTACCTTCTAAACATCGGTATTAAAAAAATCATTTTTGCATCTATCATGCACTGAGGTAAACCTCTGAAGTCTTATGTGATCACACGGATGTGTTATTTGTTGATGAATAATTAGTTCTTTAACACACTGAGTTCGCCAGAAAGCAGAGCCAGAGGCTTTTGCACTATTATTTGGGAGCACAACCCAAGGAGGAGGAGGAGGGCAGGATAAGGAGGCAAAAGCAGGGAGAAGGGAGAGCGGATCTGCGGTGCAACCTGATGCTGACTGCCGCTAAATGCAACACATTAAGCATGGGAACATGCCCCCAGGACACACCGTTCCACCTTCTCCTGGACCGTCTAGGCACCAGCTCCTGCCCGTCATGGGTCCGATATTTGCCTGCTTCCCACACTTTGGGTTACATGTGCACGGGTGTGCATGTTTAAAGAAGTCCCATGGGAGAGGTGACAAGGAGGTCCTGGACAGGAGGTGAGAAGTGGGTAGAATAAGCAGGAATGAGGTGCTGCTGGACCGCACCCGTGTGAAGTCGTTGAGAGCCCATGGAAAGCTGGTCACCATAGCAGCAGCTGAAGGGAGGGGAATAATTGATCGGTAAGACTGAAAGGACCCAAAGGTAAGAGGTGTCTGCTACAGGGACATAATTAAAAGAGTATTTCAAAGACCTAATTTTTTCGTGATTTGGAAAGTCAGTATCAAGTGTGCCACTTCTCAAATAATCTAGAAACATTTCCACTTACTTTTAAGAATGTATCAGAGATGCACGCAGATTAAATCTTTTTGAGATAAATCAAATACAAACGGACGTTACAAGGATGAATGATGCAACACAGTCTCTGAAAATGAGAATACTTGATCTGAAAAGAACTAATGAAGCTCTAGGGTATGTATTTTTTTTTTTTAATTCAGTACTTGTGGGAGTTGGGGTCTGTGGCTGGAGTGTGAAAATTGTCCTAAGGGGTCTGTCCTCTTGTCTGTGCTGGTGTGGGGCAAGTAGGAGGTGGGTATCATCTGGAGCAGATGACCTTGGCTGATGAGGGGTATGTGATGGCTGCACAGAGCTGGGGAGGAGAGCAAAAAATCTTCAACCACTGCAGTCAGGGGACCTGTCAAGTTTCAGAGACCATCCAGCTTCCCAGCAGCACCTACTGTGTGTGACTCACGTGCCACCTCCAAAGGTAGAGGTGCACAGTGGTTTCAGAGTCCCCTTTAGCAAAATCAAGTTTACAAACCTCAACCACTAAAGCAAGAAATTTGGCTGGATATTGTATTAGAAATACAGTATCAAACCAGATACACTGTAGCTAGTTTAGTTTCTTAAAGGTATTCAGCCATAAACTACTGGAGGTCTGAGGGATGGGATTGGTTCCCAGCAGAGAATTAATTACAGATTTCATCTGTAATTAAATGAGATGATATATATAACTGCCTGTAGCTCAGATTCTGACACTTGTTAGTTTCTTTCCTTTATCCCTGAGCTGTATTGCCAGGACTTCACCCCATGGGCCTCCTTTTCTCCACCTGTAAAGTGGGGATTACAAGTTTGAATTTATGCATCTCATGGAGGAAAAGATACATTCTGAAAGGAAAACCAACAAAACCTTAGGAACAACTCAGCATTGTGAGCAAATACGTAAGACTGATGCATAAATATCAGAATGTCAGTTTGTCAGAGGCAGAAATGTTGGAAGAGTCCCTATGAAAGAAAAAAAATCTTCTTGGGAAGCTAAAGTGATCAGATGGTCACTTGGTGCACATAATATCAAAGCATCAGGAATTAGGTGAAGGGGCGCCTGGGTGGCTCAGTCGTTAAGCGTCTGCCTTCAGTTCAGGTCATGATCCCAGGGTCCTGGGATCGAGCCCCACATCGGGCTCCCTGCTCGGCGGGAGGCCTGCTTCTCCCTCTCCCACTCCCCCTGCTTGTGTTCCTGCTCTCGCTATCTCTCTCTGTCAAATAAATAAATAAAATCTTTAAAAAAAAAAAAAAAAGGAATTATGTGGAGACCTCGAGGCCCAGGGACGACTTTCCCCAATTAGGCCCTCAGAACACCTGTTCTGGGGGATGCTCCATGAAAAAGAAAGTTCATGATCACATAAGCTTGAGAATTCTAACCCCTCTTAGGGATTCACAATGTGGATTTGCTAGCCAGAGACTGCTGTGTGAACTATATTATCGATTCCTAAACTAATAACAAGGAAGATAATATCCAGGCTGGAGTACTCAGGTCAATTGGCCAGCACCATCACACCTCTACAGACCAGTGATTTTCAAACTTGAGGATGCATCAGAATCACTTGGAGTGCTTATTAAAACACAAATTACTAGAAAGCTCCGCAGCACCCCAAATTTCTGATTTAGTAGGTGTGGGGGATGGGAGTGAGAATTTGCATTTCTAACGAGTTGCCAGGTGATGCTAATGGGGCTGGTCCTGACCACATGTTCAGAATCCCTGCTCTAAAGAAATCTTTATGGAAAGGCAAATGACAAACATAAGGTGGGTTGCTTGATGAGCTAGCATCACCAAGCTACAATCTCACTGCATCCATTTTTCAAAGAAAGATGCACATCAAGATGCCAACACTCTCTGACAGGTGGTCCTCTCCTGGACAGTCCCCCAAAATGGCAAGCTCTTTGGGTGGGTTTTTCTTAGGTCCTGTGTTTGGTTGCTGAGTTCTCTCTTCTCAACCCACCTCAATACACCTAATTAGTTTTTGGTGTTTTTTTTGTTTTTTTTTTTATTTGACTTGTTTAGCTTAGTTCTACTAAGGCTACTCCATCCTTAGGTTGACTCATTCTTAGAAGGCTTCCTCTACTAGACCCACAAAGCACCCATTATCGGACCCTCTCTAGCCTGGGCTTTTAATTGCATTTCCGTGGTAGAGTTGACTTCTGGAAAATAAACTTACCAACAACCTGTTACCATTTTCCTGAGCCTTTGCGCACAATCCCCTTGAACAACTGAAGTCTTTAGCCCTGGGGATTAGAGAAAGGAAAAAGGTCTTAACAGTGTAGAAGCTTTTAAAAAAGGAAAATCTAGAAATGGCGCCAATTGTCCCTCTTTCCAGTCTTGGCATTGTTGGCCCTGGGGTAGATATTTCTCACTGTCTTAAGGTCTTCTTCAGATGGATGTGGCTAGCCATGGATAGGTGAAGTTAATGTCTCCTCCTGAACTCAGATTTGGCGGCAGGTAGGAGGGGGTAAGAGAGTTCAAGTTAGGTTTCAAGCATCTTCTGAACAGTGAAGACAGACTCTGCTCTCTCCTCCCTGACTCTTGTCCATCAGAGGAAGGCTTGCTTTCTCCTGGGCCCTCCCTGCAGGTCACTGGCATCAGAAGGTGGCTGGGGGGATGGTGAGATATTTACCTTCCTTTGGCTTGATTGCATGTCTCAGGATAAGATAGTTGTGGCAATGCTACCTATCAAACCATTTGTCTGGTCAGATTCCATTCATCTCAAAACTGTTTTTGAATCCTTGCATACCTTAAACCAGAACATCCCATAGTTACTACCAGGAACGGGATGGGTGGGGTGAGGCAGGACCCCATGACATTTGTGCAGCAGTAAACAGGTGCAAGATTGACATTTGTCTTGTGTTTCCTTCTGTCCTCATCTCAGCCAAGTTTAAGTGATCACAAATACAACTTAAGTATTCCTTACAGTTTCCCTCTGTATGGTGTTCATCTCGGCAAACAGACTTTAAGTTCCTTTCCTAAAAACCATACTTTTCATTCCATGAACCATTCTTTTCTCCTAGTGAAGAGCAAGAGAAGCTGGCGAGGGAGCATGAAAAGTTAGTGATGGCACTCAACCACACGATGGGAGAAAAGGCCGCCACCACTGTTTACATCAATGAGACTTACACCAAAATCAACTCGGAGAGAAAAGAAATGGAATTGCAAAAACGACATCTCGAAGAAATAGAGGAACATTTGGAAAAAGAAAAAGAGGAATATTTGAAAAGAAAACAAAAACTGGATGAAGAGGTAAGCGGCATGATTTACTTTTTTAAAAATTACAGAATCGTGTGGAATCTCAGGCAGGAAATTCGCAAGGCTAGCAAGCGTCCCGTGCGGGATCCCCTGTGAACAGTGATGCAGAGATGCAAGCACACCGGGGACCCTTGGGGTAGACACTGATTGTGTCATAGCATCTGAGGTCATGGGAAAGAATATGAGTGACAGGATTTGTCACACTAGGGTGGCCCCTGGCTCATAGGCAGCCCTACGGGGACAAGGATCTTGTTTTCGTGGCATCTCGTTGCCTCTGACCATTCTGACCGTGGACAAGACCAGGGAGATCCACGTTGCCAGAGCCTTCAGCTCCTGCTGAACACATCCGAGCAGAGCAGCCTGCAGAAGGGCTAGGTGTAGCCACAGGCTGCAGCAGAAAAGAGTATCTTGAGACTAGCGATTTTGGGAGAGTAGATGGGAATGACTACCGCATCTTGGTGTCTGCTGGGCCATATTAATTAAAATTCACCATCAGAGTGGCTCGTGACGGTTCCTCTTTGCTGTGCTTCTGTTACCCCAGGAGAGGCAGGGCTCTCTCCAGGGGAGGTGTTCCCAGCAGTCTTCCTTCTCCCCCATGTGTGGCAGCCTGGCTCATGATGAGAATTGCTGTCGGGTCCCTGCCGCTGCCCTCCCTGTGGTGGGCACGGGCATGACTGTCATGCAGAAAATTGGTTGGGGCTCGCAACCTGTGTAGCCCCCACCAAGGTTCACTGAACGCACATGATAGGCTGGAGTAACAGCCTGTTAATTTCCTTTACTTCCTATGAGAAAGGAAAAACCATTACAGCTGTCAGAGTCTTCAAATTGTAAGCTCTCCCCTAACACCAAACAAAATATTTTTTGCTAATATTATGTCTATGACCACAAGACCTTGGGAGAAGTCTTTGGCTGAAGAATGAACACAGAATTCTGATTTTCAACGAAATGGATTAATCCCAAAGTTCCATTCCTATGCAACGGTGCTCTGGTGCTGAGATCATTGACCATGATCATGTTCATTCATAAGACACTTCGGGTGCACTGGCTTTGACAGAAAGCCACCCAAGTGTATGTTTTCATAACTCTTTAGTACAGAATTGAATATGCTTTCTCAGGCCTTATTACTCCGTTAGTTAGCTTGTTCTTGATCATTCCTTTTGCCAGCCAAATGCATTGATGTGTTTGATTTTGATAAGAGGATGACTTACTCCATTGGGTCTGACAAGTAATCAAAATATGTTTGATCTTGGTAGGATGGTAAGAAGTTGTCCAAGATTGTGAGCTGCCCAGTCTTCAGTGATTTTTTACCCTGTTTTTAGTCTGCTTTCTTTCCCATCCAAAAAATGTGAATTTAGATTTCCAGATCATTCGTCATTTTTTTCTTTGACTTTCCTGATCTTATTATTATTAGCACACTATAAATCTGGTGGCCGTTGCTATGGTGTTTTACTAGTAAATTGCTACAATGGCAGTTGCTTTTAGAATTTGCTATTAATGATCATTGTTTTATTGCTCTTATAAATTTACTCTTTCAACATTTATAATTACAATTTATTCCTCGTAGTTCACTATTTTTCTTGTGGTGTTGCAAAACAAGCAAACCCTGTTGGCGGGGGGTGTGTTGTTGTTGTTGATAGACCGACCATGGTATACTTAGTATGAATTAGATTAACAAAATAAAAAGATTTCCTAAACTTTGTTGTTCTCATAAGTTTTTGGATTGGTTTATCATGTTTATCATTACAGATTGAGAGATATAAAAACTTCTGTGAATTTAAGAGAACAGAGACTTATAAAAAGAAGAAAGAATTGGATACATTAAAACTTAAAGTGTCAAAAATGAAAGAAACAGTTATGACCAGCACAGTGGTAAGAAAGAATAAACGATGTGTTTGATGTTTAGGAGATCCTTTAGACGTTGTGCTCATGTTGCTGGCAGTTCTAGGATTTCAGACCCTTGTTGACTCTGAAACTAGTTATGACCCAGAAGTGGAGGCATGTGGGTGCTTTCAAGGAAGGAATAGCTTGGGGGGGAGCTTTTGGCCACCTGTCTCACCTGGTAAGAATGGGAGCCCCTCTGTGCTCCCCGCAGGTGTTTCTCTGAGTCCACATTGATGTGCATGGTTAGATGGCATTACACAGTCTGCCTGTGATCACTCCATGCCGGGGAGCAGAAGAACTTGTCTGATCACCTCTCTCTCCCCTCCATTCTTCCCCACAGCTGAAATGCAGACCCAAGGCTCTATAAATGTTTGCCTCCCCTTTTCTTTTCTTTTTTTTTTTAAGTAGGCTCCATGCTGGGCATGGAGCCCAACACAGGGCTTGAACTCACAACCCTGAGATCAAGACCTGAGCTGAGATCAAGAGTCAGACACTTAACTGACTGAGCCACCCAGGCACCCGTGCCTTCCCTTTTCTTTATTCCAAAACTGCATTGTAAAAATATGTTTTATTGGGGCGCCTGGGTGGCTCAGTTGGTTAAGCGACTGCCTTCGGCTCAGGTCATGATCCTGGAGTCCCGGGATCGAGTCCCGCATCGGGC